TTGAACCTGTGTCCCTCTGCAGTGGAAGCACAGAGTCTTAACCACTGGACCACCAGGGAAGTCCTGCAAATCCCTGTTTTTGGTGTAGTAGGTATCTTACACCTGATACTCTCTAGCTGCTGCTGTATTGCATTTGTGGTATCTGGTTGCAGTGCACCTCTACCTACCTGGCCTCTACATACCCAAGGATATCATGGAAGAGGGGTGGACCAAGATTGTAAGGGTCGTGCAGGGTGTATAGGGGTGGAGTGAATAGTCAGGCCACCCATGGCTGTTCTCTTGCTCTCTGTACATCCCCTGCTCAACCAGGGCCTGCTTCACTCACATAACTATCCAATCCTCTTAATTATAGGGCTTAGTTAGTAACTGCCCACGTGCTTGCCTCCTGCCCCAGCCACTGGTTTCCCTGGTAACTGATGAGGCAACCTGATATCAATTCCTCCGTAAATGGTAGCCTCCGTCCCCTCCCAAGTAGCAAAGATTGCTGCCATGTCCTGCCTGTCATATACAGTGGGGTGTCACTCCAGGATCTTTTGCTTTGGACATGTAAGATCCCCTGTCCAATAAACTGTTGATGACTCTGGCACTGCCTCCAGGCTCTTCTTCCCTCTGAAGGCTAGGCAACTACAAGGCTTGAAAGTCTGTGGGGTGCAGCCCAACAGTAGGGATTTTTTTTGGCCAGATAGTGAACCAGTTTTCCTAATACATATTTTAAACAATCCACTTTTCCCCATTGTTTTAAGGGGGAAAATGGGCCCCTCTTGTCATATGTTAATTTCCCAGGCATACACATGCCAATCTCGGAGTTTTCTCTTCTTTGAACAGAAGTTGATCTAACCATTCATAGACTTATATTATTGCACATAAGTTGTAGAGTAAGTTTAGTTAACATATCAGCTGAAATTTTTAGATTATGTTGAACTTACAGTTTAACTTGGAGAGTTAATATCTTTATATTAAACTACCTTATCCAAGAATAGGGAATGTCTCTTCATTTATTCAGATAATCAACTCTTATTTAGAGTTTGAAAATTCTCTCCATAGAGGTCTTACATACTCTTAAGTAATCATTACTTAATAATTTAAATTGCTTTTGTGGATAATATCTCATATTTGCTGGTTATAGATGTTACAGAAAAATGCAACTTATTTTTGTAGAGTGATCTTGTATCCAGCAACTTTGCTGAATGCTCTCATTAGTTCTAAAATTTTTTTCTTAATTAGGTAGTAATCAAATTATCTGTACATGATAGCTTTATCCCTTTTTCAATCCTTTGCCTCTTTTTTTGTCTTTGTGGCTTTGTACAGGATTCCTAGAACTATTTTAAATGGTAATAATGATAATGGGCCTCCTTGTATTGATCTTTTTTTTCCCCTAAATATGAATATGCCTAGGTATAAGCTTATTGGTATTTATCCTAACTGATGTTCTCTGAGCTTCCTAGATCTATGGTTTGGTGTCACTAATTTTGGAAAATTCTTGGCCATTACAAATTTCAAATATTTCTGCTCCACTTTTTCTCCTTCTGGTATTCCCAATATGTACGTGGTACACCTTTTTAGAAATCCCCAATAGTTCTTGGATGTTCCAGTCTGTTATTTTCACTTTTTTTTTTTTTCCCAGTATGGGAAGTTTCTATTGCCTTATCTTCAAGCTCACTAGTTCTTTCCTTGACCACATCCCATTTAATGATGAGACTATCAAGGGAGTTCTTCATTTCTGCTAGTTTATTTTTATTTTTACCATGTCTTTTGTTTCTAGAGGTTTCCTCTCTATGCTTGCATTACTCACCTGTTCTTGCATGTTGTCTTTTTCATTAGATCCCTTAATATATTAACAATAGCTATTAACCGTAGCTATTTTAAATTCCCTGCCTGACAACTCCCCATTGTGTATAATATTTGACTCTGGTTCTGCAGCTTTTTCTTTTCAGGCTGGGTTTTTTCCTTGCCTTTAGTATGTCTAATATTTTGTTGAAAGCTGGACATCATGTATTGGGTAACAGGATATTGGTAACAGGAACCAAAGTAAATAGGCCTCAATGTGTGATTTTATGTTAGTCTGGCTAGGAGCTGGGCTGTATTTAGTGTAACTATATGTGTCATAGATTTCAAATTCCTCTGGTGACCTTATTTTTATCTCCCCTCTTTTTTTAAAATAAATTTATTTATTTTTATTTTATTTATTTTTGGCTGCGTTGGTTCTTTGTTGCCACACGGGGGTTTTCTCTAGTTGAGGCAAGCAGGGGCTACTCTTTGTTGCGATGCGTGGGCTTCTCATTGCGGTGGCTTCTCTTGTTGCGGAGCAGGGGCTCTAGGCACTCGGGCTTCAGTAGTTTTGGCTCAAGGGCTCTAGAGCGCAGGCTCAGTAGTTGTGGCACACGGGATTAGTTGCTCCGCGGCGTGCAGGATCTTCCCAGATGAGGGCTCGAACCCGTGTCCCCGGCATTGATAGGCAGATTCTTAACCACTGTGCCACCAGGGAAGCCCCTTTATTTCCACCTCTTGATTTGGGGCTTCCCTAGGAGGCTGTGTCTGGGGCTTCTCTCAGAGGCTGTGTCTTACAGCTATTTCAACTGTAAGCCACTAGGTCGCTGTTCATATGGGGATAAGTTGTGGGGCAGAGGAAGCATTCTATAATATGATTGCACCTCATTTTTTTTTTTTTTTTTTTTGCGGTAGCCGGGCCTCTCACTGTTGTGGCCTCTCCCGTTGCGGAGCACAGGCTCGGGACGCGCAGGCTCAGCGGCCATGGCTCACGGGCCCAGCCGCTCTGCTGCATGTGGGATCTTCCCGGACCGGGGCACGAACCCGTGTCCCCTGCATCAGCAGGTGGACTCTCAACCACTGCGCCACCAGGGAAGCCCGCACCTCACTCTTTTAATGGGTCTATTTCCCTGTGTTGTGATTTTTTTCACAAGTGTTTCTTAGCTCTTCTTCTCCCCTTAGATGAGACAGGAAATCTAGAGGGCCCTAGAATGGGGGAAATGCCCTTCTCCACGGTAGGGTGGGCTCTGGTTAAGTGTTTTCCCTGGAGAGGAGGCTTTTGTCATGGAGGAGGCTCTGAATGTTTTTCAGAACTTTTCTTTTCCCCTCCCCCTGATAAAACCACTAGATCTTTCTCAGGTCTTTACTGTAGGTGCCTAGAGAAAAAGTCCATAAAAATATGCACCCTTCCCAGCCTCCAGTTGTTTGTCATTCTCAAACTAGTCCACACTCAACCTCCAGCAATTAGTTAATATTAACATTTAAGCGTTCCATCAGTTTTTGGCTCCAGTGGGTTCTCCTGGTAAGCACATACTCTGTATGTGCTTGTCTTTCCAGATTTCAAGGTAGCAGCTTGCCTTGCAACATCAGTTCTGACAGGTCCAAGAAACATCATTGATTCTCCTTGCATTGGTCTTAGAATATGTTAAGTGTTTTCATTAGCATAATATTTACTATAGGTTTTTTGGTATATGTCTCTTATAGAATCAAGAAAGTTACCTTCTATTTGCCAGTAGTTTTATTACAAATAGGATTAAACCTTATAAAATGCTTTTTCTGCATTAGGATAATTATTTTTCTCCTTTAGTCTATTGATGTGGTGAATTACAGTGAATTTTTCTAATGAACCACCCCTGTTTTCTGGGATTAACACCAGTTGGTCATGATGTATCATTTTTTAGTACACTATTGGACTTCATAGTTTGTATTTAGGATTTTTGAATCTACTTGGTTCTATTTCTATTTTCTTAGTATTTACTCTAGATTTTAGAATGGATACTTAAGGAAGATTGAAGTTATTCAATGTGTTTAGCCTCCAAGAACGTTCCAAGGACCAATTTATGTGCTACTATTCTCCAATATTTTAGTATATTTAATTTTAAAAAGTATTATTATAGTTTTATAATGTATATATTAATATTTACTAATCTTATTTCTTTGCTCACATTTCTTTCTTACATCTCAGCCTTTCCATCATTTCCTTTATAATAGCAAACATAATAAATGCTATGTGCCAGGCAGGTTCTGAGCACTTTAAACATATTACCTCACTTGAATCCCCCCAAAACCCTATGCGGTATGTACAATATTCCTTCTGTCTGAAGAATTTCTCTGGATCTCAGTTTTTGTTGTCTGTCCCTCTTGTCTTTTTTTTCTTTTTTTGAAAATTTTACTGGCTAGAAGCACAGAAGTTCTTAAATTCATGACAGTGCATGAGATGTCTCTGAGAGCAGAAGTGGGAAAAAAGTAAAGACAGAACCCTGGGGAGCACCAGAGCTTATATATAGGTCTCATGGGCCTTACATCTAGAGGTGGGGCCCACTGGAACTGCAAGGCCAAGGGCCAGAGCCAAAGCAGTGGAGGTCACTTTGAAGGGCTCTTGGGATGGCAGATGTCAGCCTTTCCCCCGGCAAGCATGTGCTATGACATTACTATACTTTGTCCATCTTCTGTACTCCCAGACCCAGTCCTATGAGGACAATGGCACTGCCCAGAAGTGGCTGTGTCCCTCCTCGAGGGAGAGGAAGGGGCGTTCCAGGTGTCACAGCACTGGAGGTCAACAGCTATGTTTACTGCTTGTATCAGGTGTGGCTGAAATAAGCAAGAGTGCCCCAGCCACATGCCTGAGAAGAGCTACTGGACCCAAGAGCTCAGAAAGCAGCAGTGGGTCAAAAGCAGTGGCCTTAGCTCCATCTTATCTTTCCCTCTATTTGGCTCTGGGCATCCTCTGTGGAATCTGTGGGAATAGAGGGCTTTGAGGGCTTGTAAGCAGGGATCCTGGGAGACAGAGCCAGGAAGCTGCCTGGAACAGTCAGATTCCATGGCCCAATGACATCATTGTGGCAACAGATTTCCCAAACAGAAGTCAGAAGCCCAGGTCAGCCTTTTTCTGAAATGTACTTCTCTCTGCCTCTCAGACAAGGCATCTTCTTCCTCCTTGTTTAGTCACCTGGAACCCTGTTTTCTCTCTCCTAGAATTAAGAACCGTCTTCAGAAAGCAACACATGAAACCATTTTCGAACGGACTTTAATCATTTTTTGCTGCCCAAATACTGTACATGCAGAAGCCATGTGAAGAATTTTCTCCTCAAGGGAATTGGCAAGAGTGTTGTAAGAAACAGCCGGCAGTCCTTCCCATCCATCCACCTGCCACCTGGGAGCCACAACGAGTTTGGAAAGATGCTGCACATAGAAAATGTATAGAGCACAGATATAAAAGGCTAATTGCTTCTTATCTAAACAGTGTGCTTCTCAGTCCCTATCTGTTCTCTCTTTGCAGGATGCATTTAGAAATTCTAAAAAAGGGGTTCTTGCCTCCTATGAATTTACATTCTAAAGGAGTGGATGGAATAATCAGGCCAACTTTTCCTAAGAAAGCAGCAGCCACTCTGCCTGCTGAGATGGTGTCTGGTAAAAGACATTCTGGAGAAGAGTCATTTTTTGTTTCAAGAAGCAAAACACTTTGAAGGGAAATAAGTTCCCTCTCTCCTCCCATCAGAGAGCATCTCCCTTTAAAATTCTCCCATTGTCTCATTCTAGAAGCAGAAATGAGGACTAACCCAGCTTCATCTGCTGCTGGGGATACTGACCTACGCAGGATGCATCTGAGGTTGTGACATCACATCAGCACCTTGGAAAAAGTCCATTGTAGACAACCCTTAATTATCTCCTTACGTAAGAAAACAACAACACAGGCGGAGGAGGAAGAAGAAGAAGAGGTTGTTAGGATTCCCAGAGTTCTTGTCAGAAGCAGCATCTGGGCATGGAAGGGTGAGGACCTGCACCCAGCTTGGGCACCCGGGTCTGGAAGGAACCAGCCTGTGGAGCCAGGTGCCGGGTGCACCAGGCTCATGACCCTCATCACCTCCAGATTAGACTTAAAAACTGGAGGGAACCGTGGAGTAACTAGCAAATGCTCTGGTTTTGCACATGAGGAAGCTGAGGCCCAGAAAAGTGAGGAGTCTTGCACAAGTCTTGCCTGTATATAATAGCCTTTGATTCTCCGTAGCCAGCTGTCCAGGCCACTGACCATTGGGGCGGATGCTCTGTTGCCTTTGGAATTCCCAGGGCCCATTTCTCTTTGCCAAGCTCTCCGGAACCCAGTCCCAAGGACCCTTACTGGCATCAGTGTGAGCTCCCAGGGAGGGCGAAGGCTCCTGTCCTTACTGGCCAAGTTTCCAATCAGAGCCTGGGAAGGTTTTCCCAGAGCAGTAACACTCATGCTTTTTGACGAGCATCCTCCCCAAGCCAGTCTGGGCCTCTGCGGGAATGCCAGTTTCCTTCACAGGCACAGCCTTGCTGGGCCCACAAAAGCCTGAGCTCAGGGTTTGGGGGAGGGGAAGTTGCTTTGCTACATGGAAAGATTAAGCCCTTTGTCAGAGAACAAGGTCCCACCATCGGGCATGCTGACACCTGAGCTGCATGTGTGCGGCTCAGCTGGCAGAGCTGGTGCCCGAGGAGGCCAAGTTGCTCTCTTTGGCATCACTGACGTCGCTCTGAGATGCTCAGGCACTCTTTCAAAATAACCCTTTCCCAGCCAGACTAGGCTTATCCAGCCCCCATCAGGCCTCACTGGATCGGGCGGGGTTCCCCTGCCCTTCAGTCATGATTGTTTTGTTTTGACCCAATTTCTTCTGACCTGAGTGAAAAGCAGACTTGAAGGAGAAGGCAAGGGATGAGTCTACATTCCTATCTCCTTCCTGATCATTCAGTGAACGGTAATCCAGTATAGGAAGCAGCATTTTAGAGAACCTCTTTCTGTGTCAGGATATTGGAGAAGAAAACTCCGGGGAGAGGAAGAGAAAGGGAGCAGTCGGCAGGGCAGCAGGCCTCTTCTTTTCCCCCTCCTTGCAGCCAGTGCGGAAACCCTGCGGGACCACCGCCTGGCCCTGAAGAACACGCCACCTGTCTCCGCCACCAAGCAAAGGCAGCAGTTGCTCGCACGGGCTCCGCACAGTGCAGGAAGTAATCAAAGAAGCGGAAGAGCAGCTTTCCTGAAGCCCTGATGCTTTCTGGGCTGAAGATGGGGAGCCGGAGGTATCAGGAGCTCTGGAGCCCTGGCGGGGGAGGAGCACGGCATCTCCTGGACAGCAGGGTGTGGAGCAAGAACCCTGGTTGCGTGCCAGGGCTCCTGGTAATGCAGTCTAAGATTGTGCTACATTTCATTTCCAAAAGAGTACCCTTGGAGGGCTCTAGCGTCTTTGAAAGGGGTGTGAGGCTTCTGCTCTCCTCAAGGCTGGCAGTAAAGAAGAGCTCAGGCATGCTTGCCCTGGTCGGGGTCAGGCCCCTGGGAGAACCAGTGATCCCACGAGTGGTGAGCTAGAGGGACACCCTCTCTCTCGGCCCCCTGAAATGCTGGCAGTGCCTGGGCTTGCTGCATACTGAGAGCCTCCTGAGGGCTCCTTTCCTAGGAGTGCTGGGTGGGGGGAGAGACTGGGTGGGGAGTAGTTTAGGAGATGGCTTGACAAAGGGGATATGATTCTTCAGGGAAGAACCAAGACTTGGCCCCATTTGCTGGAGCCTGATTCATACCAAAGACCCATCACAGACTTCCCTTTAGGGAAGGAGTCTATGAAGGAAGTGGGACAGATTGAACAGAGCAGAAACGTGAAGACAGATGTTCTGAATCATCTGTCATGGTTCCTGCCCTCAGCCCAGCATCGCTGCAGGACCACTGCTGTCTCTGCCACATCTTCCACGAATCCTGCCTGAGCAGAGGGAGATGGAATGACAAAGAGCCCACCCTGTCATCAGCCCCAGGGTCCCCTGGGGTAAGGAGAGGGCATGTGGAGTCAGGACACTGCATCTAACAGTGTCTGGGGGGATCATGTTCCTTCCCTCCCCGCCATGCCTTCTTCAAGGGACAGATGCTGCCCCCTCCAGGGAAGGGCAGCAGTCACACGTGTGCTCCCTCCTCTCCTGGGACAGGCTAGCTCCAGAACAGCTTTTCACACAAGCCCCTGCATCCAGGAGGCTGAGAGACAGACCCTTAAACCCAGGAGTTTAACACGGAGTCTCACTTGACTTTACCCTCATGGGAGAAAAATCCAGGTGGGGATTAGTAACTTAATTTGGTACAAAGGGTTAAAAATAATTCCCCAACATCAACTTGTGTGGGGAATGACCTCCCATTATCGAGGTGGAACAGTGGAGTGGCCCAACTCTTGGGCAGTCTTGGCAGCTGGGGGTCGTAGGCAGGTCAGCCCAAGTCACCGACATGTCAGGCCCCACCTCTGGCTAGAACTTTCCCTGTGCCAGCCAACCTTCCTCAGAGGCAAGGGGCCAGCAGCCTTCAGCTCCCCAGCAGCAGCCTCTGCTGGTAGCTCCTTCTGTCTTCCTGCGCCTCTAGAGGAATGAGGGTGACACCCCTCACTGATACCCCCATTCCCTGGGGGTAACCGCATGGTCTGCGTATCACCGCTCGGTGCCACGTCAGCAAATGTCTACGCCATCCTGTGGGTCTCTAATCATCCCACCACCCCAAAGGCGTCAAGGATTTTCAACCATTCTGAGGGTGGCTGCTCTGCATCACCCACAGGACACAGAAATACGCTTTTGCAAGCGAGTTCCCACCCCCACTCCCCACCCTAGGATCTAAGAGCACAGAGCCCTTTGCCTTATTTTAGAAACATGAGAAATGCATGCGTTACCCAGTCTGACCCTAGGAGAGAATCTCTGCAGAAAGAGAAAACTCAGCCTAGCTGTCTCTCTCTCCACACACATGAGCGTTCCCGCCATGATAATACAGGAATGGAGTCTCCAGCAGGAGTCAGGAGCCCAGGAGCTTATCTTGTCCTTACTGCCCTCACCCACTTTTTGTCTGTGGGCAGGACCAGTGGGGACCTGGCTTCTCCCCCTGGTTTTCACAGGAGGGAGGTGGCCAGGCCCTGGCTTCAGCCTAATGTGGTTCCTGCCAGAAAGGACCCCTCGGTGGGGATGGCTCTGTCTCAGCCTCTGTCTCCACCTGCCTGCCCCGGAATCCACCTCCAGGCCCCGGAATCCACCTCCAGGCCCATCTGGCTTCGCTTATGGATGGAGTCCAAGCACCTCTCCACGGATCCCCGCGTATGCGGGTTACAGTCAGTGCAGCTCTCAGGGCTGATATCTGGGGAAGAGGCAGAGCGCGAGCCTGTCCCAGGCCTTGACCCCTCCTGCTGCCTCTTTCCACCCCACCAGACATGAACCCAAGGGCTGCTGTATCCACCTCCTGGGCAACCTCTTGCCTTTCATGCTAGACCTGAGGAAGAAGAGGGACAGATTTGGGCACTCCCGAGCCAGACTTCAGGATTCCCAGCAGACATCTCACAAGGTCCAGTCCAGGCCCTGGTGCCCACCCCCAGGGCCCAGCTGTCCAATCAGGTCAGGGTTTGAGTGGCTTTGGGAAACTCCAACCAGACAAGGGTGGAAAGAAAGCAGAGGCAGGCACGGTGTCTAGAGCAGACCAGGCCACCCTCCAGAGGGCAGCGGCAGAGGGCAGGGGGCAGGGAGGCCGAGAGGGGTGAGTATTGCTTATACAGAGCTGGTGACCGTGATGGTCTAGAGTCTACAGCCAAGCTGTCCGTGGAGCCAGGAGGCTGAAGCCTCAGTGAATCTGAGCTCCCAGACATGGACCCTGGTCTGGAAAAGAGAAAAAAAAAAAAAAATAGAGCCCCCAATAATCAACTTCATGCAGCTAATCCCCAAAGGTCGGACAGGCTTCTCAGAGCAAGTCAGCCCCAGCCCTCCTCATTCCTGCCAGCAGCCCTGCCCTGGGCACATCCTCAACAAGCCAGGCCCCTCCAGGACGAGCCCAGAGGGGCACAGGGCCACTCTCAGGACCTGGGATGGACACAGGTGCCGCCAGGGGCTGCCCACTTTGGCAGGTAACATCCCTATGAGGCCAACCTCTTGCATGTCAAGACCGTCCACTCCACACCACCTGGGGTCCGCTGGGAGAGCTCCTTTGGCATGTCGCAAGTGAGGAGGCTTGGAGGGAAACAGGAGGTGAACAATTCTAAGGGAGGTACCAGCACTTTCCTCCAAGGTACCTGGCCTGCAACCCTGGGAACTGACACCTCCTTCAATCTCACTTGTAGGAAGGAGGTGGCGCCAGCCCGAGGGAGAAAGCGGTCTTTAAGCCCTCAGCTCCCCGGCATCGTCTGCCTCCCGGAGCCCTGGCCAGGGCGCTAGGTGAGATGCTACATGCTGTGGATGCATTCGGTGGGAAGAGCAGCCGGAGTGCCCAGTGAAGAGGAGGGGTGTCAGGGTTCCCAGAGGGGCCTCGCTGTGGCCAGCTGCAGTGGACGCTACATTCCTCAAAAAAGAGCAGAGGTGCTGGGAGAGGCAGAGGTGGAACAAAGAACAAGACAGAAAACTAAGCAGGGACCACCAAGAACAGGCACAGGCGGGGACACGCAGGCTCTGCCCTGAGCCTAGGACCAGGTGGGATGGACCAATGGCTGCGTCTCCCACTTCCACCCCTGGACTCAAGTGGAGTCCCGTCCACGCAACTCTCCTTTGGGTTTCTTTACAACGAGACACAGAGAGACGTGGATTTCAGCCCATATAGTCACTAAGACCAAATACACCCAGACAAATGAACAGATCTAACATGGTCACACACAGACACACACACAAACACACACGCACACATACTAGAGTCTCCACTGCCAGCTGGGACAGGCCCAGTAGCCAATAGGCATGCAGCAAGGCAAGGGGTCCAGAAAGACGTGAAGACTATGTACAGGGGAGGAGACGGGGGGTGGCAGCACCCCTTCCCACACTGCATCCAGGCCTCTTCCTGAGGCCCTTAGGAGCCTGAGGGGCTCGTGGCACTCTCCAGGGAGGACTGGGACAGGCGCCTGGTGAGGGAGCCGAGCGTAGAGTCTGCCACTGAGGACGTGGGGAAGAGTTTGTACCAGCCGGTGACCGCAGCACTCAGGTCCAGCTCGTCCAGCATGATCTGGGCCATGCCCATGAAGCACTTGTGGTCCATGCGGCCATAGTCTCCCCAGACAATCACCTGCCAGTGGGGAGGAAGAGAGAGGAGCTGAGCCACATCTCCAACTCCAGGGCTGGGCAGTGGGTCCAGGAACCATGTAGAAGTTTTGCCAGGGCACAGATGGGACAGAGAGAGGCAGAACTCACACTGACTTTGGGCAGCAACTTACTGAGCACTTAAGATGTGCCAGGCTCGACCCTACAGGCTTTACATACGTTATCTCAATTGTTACAACCATCTAGGTAGAGGTGCTATGTATTATTATTTCTACAAAAAAGGAAATGTATCTCAGAGAGGTTAATTAACTAACCCAAAGATACACAGTAATTGGTGGCATAGCTGGGATTAGAACCTGGGTCTGACTTCCAGAGCTTCTCAGCATCCCAGATGACAACCTTCCTGAGTGGGGAGCAGACTGAGAGTCCAGGACCTGGGTCACAGCTCCCGCTCTGCTGCTGGATCACAGTGGGACAATCAACATTAGCACTAGGTGGAAGAAGATGGTGGTCAAACCCTGCTTCTACCTACCAGCTGTGCAACCTGGGGGCAATCGAGTTATTCCCTCGAACCTTGGTGTCCTTATGAATCAACAGGGAGAAAAACACCTTCACCGGGTTGTAACAAAAAATGGGTAAAGCATATTTAATGCGTCTGGCACAAGATAAATCATAAATAAGACAAATTTTAAATTACAGTCTTTGAGAGTTGCCCCGCCCCACTGGCCCCATGACCCTCACCTGCAGCACCTTGCCCTGGGGCCCCTCGTCAAAGAGCAGAGCCTGCTGGTACAGGGGATCACAGGTCTTCTTGGCCACCTTTGTCTTCTTCTTGGCCAAGCAGGCCCCGTTCTCAAGTAGGTAAACCTTGATATAGGTGGCTGAGGGATGGAAGAGAGCATGATGGGGAGGTGTCCAGGGGAGACTGCTGTGGCCTGCCCATCCCCTAACCTCCATGTGATCCTGGAGGGGAGCAGGGTGAGCTGGATGAGCTGACCAGCGGACAGCAGGTGGAGAGATGGGCTCAACACCGACTCCTCCATCCTCCCCTCCCCCTCCCCCCACCCACTGGCCTTCCAGGCAATCCGTGACTCCAGTGTTGAGAATACTGACTAGGCCAGTGGGGAGCTGGGACTCTCTAGACCCAGAACTCAGCTGTATATCCCTCCCTGGCAGGACCTCATTTCCAAAATCCCTCTCCCAGCTGATCTGCTTCACCTGGGAGGGATTTGGAGCCTGGTTTGGGGGTCAGGCCCCGAGCCTCAATCACTTCCACCTCCAGCTGGCTGCTCCGGTCCATGATGGCAATGTGCACATCCCCTGCAAGGGAGAAGAGGGACAGTTCAGGCAGAGCCAGACCAAGGGGCAGGCCGGCCAGCCACCATGCAGCATGCCAGTCTGCAGAGGACGTTCCAGCACTGGAAAGGGCACAAGATGGACAAAACTGTATGCGCCGGAGCTGCTCTCGGGAGACCACTTTAAAGCAGCTGAGAAATGCTTTGATAGGGCCCTTACGGTGGGATGGGGGCATGACCCTCAAGGGGCCTGTTTGGGGAACAACAAATGTAAGCCTGGTTATGGGCGGTGGAGGGGTGCTCTGCTTCACTGAGCAGAATAGCAAGTTTGGGGACAGAGCTTCCTGTATCAGGAAGACAGAGGGGAGGCTGTGGGCTCAGTAGCTCTTCTTCACCTTCTACACAGTGGTCATCAGCCACTCCCCTAAATAAACATCAAACAAATATTTAAAGGATATCAGTTTGGAGAGACGCTGAGATACAAGCCTGCCCAGGACATGAGGCACGTCCTGGAAATGAGGGCCCGCTCGTACCCTTGATAAAGGATGGGGGGAAGGCAGCAGACGTCCCAGGAGCACAGACTGAGGACTCTCTGTGCCCCACAAAATGGATTATCCAGCTGGGGCAAGTTCTGTGTGTGGAGTCATATCAGTCGTCTGGCTTCTAGAACTCTTGGCTTTGTTTGACACAGGTTAGCAGAATTTGCAATTCTGCGCTAGTCACTTGGGACGTCCTTCAAAGGGGTGCAGAATCATAAGCCCGATGCAGAAGAACTAAAATGGGCCAGACTTTGGGTTTAGCCACCCGTTTTAGATTCTCTGAGCCGTCATGCAACAGCAACTGTTTGTATTTGCACACTTTGGAAGATGGAGATTTATGACTTTCAGGAGACATCCTGGAATTCATCCCTCTCCCTCTAGCTACTCCTGACCTCCCCATGGGGAATAGGGAGGGGGAGGTCTCAGAAATTAATCTCCACGTCTCACTGTAACATCCCTAACAAGGTGAGCCAAGGCAAACCTGTCCTTCCCAGTTTAGGACACCAGGGGGCACCACACACAAGTGTTCTAGGTTGTGACGGCATATTAGCCTTGTGGAAGCGGCTGGTTCCTCTCACTGCCTCCCAGCCCTTGGCCCAAAGCAGACTATCCAAGCCCTTGAAAGCCTGAGAGCGAACTTCCCTGGTGGCGCAGTGGTTAAGAATCCGCCTGCCAGTGCAGGGGACACGGGTTCGAGCCCTGGTCCGGGAAGATCCCACATGCCGTGGAGCAACAAAGCCCGTGTGCCACAACTACGGAGCTTGCGCTCTAGAACTCATGAGACACAACTACTGAGCCTGCGTGCTGCAACTACTGAAGCCCGTGTGCCTAGAGCCTGTGCTCTGTAACAAGAGAAGCCACCACAACGAGGAGCCTGCGCACCACAGTGAAGAAAGCCCCTTCACAGCAACGAAGACCCAGCCAAAAATAAATAAATAAATTAATTAATTAATTAAAAAAAAAAAAAAGGTCTGAAAGCAAGGGCTGGGGATTAGCCAAATCCCCACCCAAGAGCCCAGTGGGAGCTGACATTCACCCTCTGAGGGTCCCTGTGGACCCCTCTTCCAGCAGACAAAGGCTCCTGTGTGAGCAGTTTAGAGGAAGACAGGGCAGTACAGTGGGAGGAGTCCTGGCTTGGAATGGAATGCTAGCTCCACTGAATGGTTCACAGCAGGGCACTGTCTGCACTCAACTTCCTCATTTGCTGTGAGGTCAAAGGTTAGACACTGTCTATGTAAGGGCTGAGTGTAGATGTCTGGGTCAGACACTGCTCAGGTCAGACTGATGGGGAAGGAAGGGTGGAGGTGAGGAGGCATCTCTGGGGAAGCTAGCCTGGGAGTTGCTGCTTGAAGCCAACACAGCCAGGATCTAAGGGAGAGAGAGAGGGAGGGAGCCAGAACTGCAGCTAAAAGGACCAAGAATAGACTGTAGGGAGTACTTCCTAGCTGCAGAGAAGAAGGATGAGAAAATTACTAAAAGTCTTTTAGGTGTCAGGCACTGTTAGAAGTAACAAGTCAAATCAGACACAGTTCCTAAGGCGTAAATGAAATATTTCATGCATCAAATAGGGACTCAATACATTGTCTTTAGATCGCAGAACTATGGCAGGCCTTATTATTCCCATCTTACAGATGAGGAAACTGAGGCTCATAGAAGGGATGTGACTTGGCCAAGGTCCCACAGATAATCAGTGATGGAGCAGACTCCATGGATGTCAATGCCATGATGATTTTTGTTCACCATTTTATGCCTGGCACTTAGCACAGCTGGGCACACAGTAGGCGGTGAGAGAGTGGGTGAGTGTGTGGTGATGCGAGGGAGGGAATGTGCTGGAAAAGCTGCTGCAGGGCGGCTGGCGGAGAAAGGCTGGAACCCTTTCCTCTCTGCTGCGGGAGGGATTGAGGAGTGTGCATACTGACTCCTCCTCAACTGGCACAAAAGCCTGAGAGAGGACTCCTTTCTGCTGCTTGCATCGCATCACGCAGGGCCCCCGCTGAGCTCACCCTTCCTGCTGTGTGGCTGCCGTCGCCCCACTCACCCTGCCCTTGAGAAGACTCACCCATTGGTGGCGTTGCCAGCGTCTGTCGCCCAACAATCTGGGCTGGTCCCAGGCCATCCAGGAAATCGCTGAACTGGCTTTCACCTCCAAGCCGGGTGGTGGGGAATATGAACCTGGAGAAGGAGGCATGAGATGCTTGAGGGCATCTGGATGGCGGGACGCAGTGGTTCTGCCCTGGGGCACTGGGCACTCCCTCTGTGCCTCAACCTCCCCTCTACAACGTGCGAGTGCACTACTATGGCTGGGGTCAAACAGAGCTGTTCATCTCTGTACATTAAAGAAAAATGCTCTGATGCCGCTCGAGAAAAGAGGCTAATAAACATACATGATCATGGTATTTAATCCTCAAGCGCCAGAATTTCTAAGGCGACCCTGAAAAGGCAGGGCTTGCTGGACACTTGCGTCCTCACCAGGGGGTGTTAATGCCAAGAACCAGAGACAAAGGCCAGAAATTTCAATGCCTGGAACAAGTTCTAAGAACTGAGTTTTAGTTGACTATAAGTTTGAAATCCAAGTCAACAATGTGAGGTGGTATCCCAAACAGCAACTGAGACCAAAATAACACAATTACAGGTTTGAGATTAATGACAAGCGATGGTGGGTGGCCCATGGCTGTGGGGAGCCTGGAAACAGTAACAGAAAAAACTGACAGTGATTGAAATTTGGCCAGATGCCAACAGCACACTAAATGCTCCACTGTATCATTTAACCCTTACCACCACTGTGGGTGGCAGGAGCTATTATCCAGTTTTACAGATGAGACAACAGAGGCTCCAAACGGTAAGAGGCTTGCCTTGCCTACAAAACAGAGATGAGGGGGCTTCCCTGGTGGCGCAGTGGTTGGGGGTCCGCCTGCAGATGCAGGGGACACGGGTTCGTGCCCCGGTCCGGGAAGATCCCACATGCCGCGGAGCGGCTGGGCCCGTGAGCCATGGCCGCTGAGCCTGCGCATCCGGAGCCTGTGCTCCGCAACGGGAGAAGCCACAACAGTGAGAGGCCCACGTACCGCCAAAAAAAAAAAAAAAAAAACAAAAACAGAGATGAAACCCAACTCATACAGGGTGATGGTGAGGATTCGGGCAGATGGTGCAGGAGCAGTTCCAGACAAACAGGAAACAATCAGCGGTAGTTACTGCGGCTGTTGGTGTGATCATCACGGGAAATGTGCTACTTTTGCATGTCCTCAAGCCTAGATGTTCTGGGGAGGCCAGCAGAGAAAGGACAGGTGAGGGAGGGCTGGCCCAGAACTGCCGAGAGGCTACAATGGACCAAAGAAAGTTCTAAGATCTCCTAGAATAGCCCAGGCTCCTGCCTAGAGAGAGAAAATGTTATCCCAGAACCAATCCCCTGTTGGACAATTTGGCCTGAGTCCCCCTTGGCCAGAGACAGGCAGGAAGGGGAGACAAGCTACATACACTTATTGGAAAGGACATGTGTCTCTCCTCTACCAGGCTCAGCCTTCACACCCCAGGAAGGGGCTTCAAGGCCCATCCATTTTTATTGGCCACAGTCTGCAATAGCCTAATATCACATTTTTAGGATAATGGGATCTGAAAAGGTTAAATGAATAGCCAAGATATGGAAGCAAACTAAGTGTCTATCAACAGATGAATGGATAAAGAAGATGTGATATATATCATATATATATAGGTGTGACATTATATATATACATATATATGAATGAATATGATGGAATATTACTCAGCCATAAAAAAGAATGAAATAATGCCATTTGCAGCAACATGGATGGACCTAGAGATTATCATACTAAGTGAAGTAAGTCAGACAGAGAAAGATGAATATCACGTGATATCGCTTATATGTGGAATCTAAAAAATAGTACAAATAAACTTATTTACAAAACAGAAACAGACTCACAGACATAGAAAACAAACTTATGGTTACCAAAGGAGAGGAAAGGAGGGATAAATTGGGAATATGGGATTAATAGATACATATTACTATATTAAAAAATAAACAACAAGGACCTACTGTATAGCACAGGGAACTACATTCAATATCCTGTAATAAACTCTAATAGAAAAGAATCAAAAAAATATATATACACACACATATATACGTATAACCGAATCACTTTCCTGTACACCTGAAACTAACATAATATTGTAAATCAACTATACTTCAATTAAAAAGAGAGAGAGAGAAAGGATAACAACTATAACAAAAAGAAACGTAGACTCTTGAGGTCACAGAATTTCAGGAGCTTAGTATAGACAGCGTGGAGATTATGAAAAAAGGTTTTAGGGTCAAATGTCCTTAAATCAAATCCTAACTCCACCACCACTTAATAGCTGTGACCTTGGAAAGGTACCATACCCTCTTCCTGTGCCTCAGTTTCTCCACTTGTAAAATGGAAATAATGGTAGTACCAACATCCCTCAGGGTTGTTGTATTAAATGAGACACTGATTTTGGCCTGATAGTGGCTGGTAGATCCCAGAGTAAGAGGCACTGATTTGAAGTGCCATTCTGCATACGGTAAATCCTAGCAGCTACTCACATTCATAGAAGCAGGCACAGTAGCAAGACACGTGATCATAGAATTTAAATAACAGAGCCACAGAATCCTGAAATCATTGGGCCTTGATGAAGCTGATTCAGAAAATCTTAATCATATAACCATCATTTCATAGATTTAGAAGAGATCCAAGGGGATATCTAACCCAGAGACTTTCCAATTTTCGACTGCAACACATATGCATATGTAAGAAATACATTTAACGTCATAGACCTACATGCATCTATCTATCTATCTATCTATTGAAAAGTTCACAAGGTAATTTTTCCTTCCTCCATGGGATACATTTGAATTTCCTATTTCCTTTTCTAATGCTGCTTTTGACCCACTCAACAGATTTTACTTCCTGCCTGTAAGTCATCATCCAGTTTGAAAAAGTGATCTAGTCCAAACTCCTGCCCTAAGCTCCAAGCAAGTCCACCTGTGAGAACTCCATTCAGCTGAGCTGTAACAACTGTTTCAGATTTAAAAGATTTTAGGATCCCATTTTCCTTTCCAACCCTTTCCTCTGGAGCAGGATGGTATGGAGGTCTTGGGAGGTGGGAGGCATGAAACATACCGATGGGATGAACTGCTCCTGGGCCACTGGGGTATTCTGATGGGAGGCAGAGGCCCAGAGCAATAGGAAGACTGGGGCCCAGACAGCGGGTGTCCAGGGGAGGGGGACAGAGGGAGGCGGGGATACAGAGGAACTCAGATAACTGGGCTGGAAACCCAAGCAGATTTTCCAGCCCTATGCCTGTGACCAGAGGACCCCGGTGGAGGGTGGGTACATGGTGGGGGTGGGCTGAACGCACGTGCCATCGGAGCTATTGCTGTTGGTGCTCCCGTCCGTGGACTCCCGGCTGCCCTGGCGAGGGACCCGACTCCGCATCTCCACGGCAACACCCGTCTCCGTGCTCCGCCGGATGTTGCTGCGCAGTTTCTTGGTGGCCCCTTCTGTGACACCCTCAGAAGCACAGAGAAGGAACAGGTCAGATCACTGAGGAGGCTTCTCCGAGATCACTGCTAAAGTCATCCTCTTGGGAGGGGGCAGGATAGGCAGGGCTCTGACTGGAGGCAGGGCCACTGCTGAGATGACCTCTAGAGCCGGTCTGCAGTCTGACCCCTGGCCCTGCTCAGGGCAGTGACACAGACAAAGCAGACTAGAAGGATGGCTGGAGGCAGAGTGGAGATGGTGGGGCTACGGGTGGGGAGTCAGCAGGCAGCGCTCAGCCCTACAGCCTTCCACCCTCGGTCTCCTTCCTGCCAGGCTCCCCTGACCCACACCTTGCCACTCAATTTCAGCCCTTGCCCCAAAGGGTTAAGTTTCTTCTTCTGGAAAGTTTGCCTTCTCTGGAATTTCCAGATTTGCTTTTCCTCTTCCAGGTACTCTCCTGAACCCTGTCACTCCCAGACATCACAACCCACCTCTGTGATACCTTCACAGGCCCTATAAAAGACAAACAAACCTATGTGAATCCTGACCACTGGCAAACTAACACCCATTCTCAAGGTGGGTCTGAATGTGGAGGGGGATGTGTGTGGAGAGGCGGAGAAGCCACTAGAAAAATAAGACTGAGAGAGAGACTCCTAGGCTGACCTGAACTGACTTTGGCTTTGAGGGAGAGGTCTGCAGAAGAACCTCAGAAGCTGTGTGGTGACAGCTCACCCCCAGTGTCTCTGTAGCTCCTGTTCGGGGGGCCCTCTACCCCTAGGTCCCCTCTTCAGCCTTGCATGGAACATAGGGCACTTTGCCTCTCCTAGCAGCGGCACCATCCTGCCTGGGTTTCCATGGCAACCTCCTCAGCATTGCAGTGTGGTCCCTTTAGACACTCTCTCTGCCTGGCGGGGGGGGCGGACAGAAGACAGGTTGTGGGTTTTCAGGGACTTCCCCTCCTGAAGCTTGGCTGCCTGAGGAGTTTGACGGGGAGGGAAGTGACGCTCAGATAGGGACTATACCAAAGGAGCCTTTTGCTGTCACTGGTTAGAGGCCCAGGCAAATTAAGAGTGGAGTTGCTTACAGGGATGGGGAGAGGCCAGGGTGAGGCAGGCAGCACAGCCCCTGAAAGCAGCGGGGAAGGGGGAGCTGGTTACCTTGGAAATTCGCTCTCCCACTAACACCCAACGGTGGGTCGGGAGGGGATGTTCGAGACCCCAGCCTGGGAGAAGGGGGCCTTTATTCCTCCTGCTTTGCCCTACTTATCTTTCAGGAAGCCCCACCGGGAGAGGAAAGGCTGAGAGGACAGGATGGGGGGACTGGGAGTGGGGTGCTGTAAGGAGGAATGTCTCCTCTGGAACCACCCCAGCTTCTGGGATACTGGAACAGCTACTAACCAGCAATCAGTGAGACCATCAACGTGTCTGTCTCTCTTACACACACCGTCTCCCCCACACAGAGTCTTATTAGCTCATGCATATTTCTTTCGCACAGGCGTAAGCAGACACACGAGTGCCAACAATCACATATGTTTATACAGTTATCTCACATACAAGGTCGTGTGTATGTTCATATAACAGTCACACAGCCACAAATGGTCTTACCAAGTCTTAGTCATACGTACACATGACACAGCCTGCCACACACATGTGACCTCCACACCATAATAATACCAGGAGCTGAACCCATCCGCTCAATCACACACATAGATGCAAACCCACAAATGGTGTGTGACCCACCACACACAGAGGGCTGGGCAATAATTGTGGGTAGGGTGGACTTGCCCTGTCCCTTGCTCCTAACTGCCACATGCCCTCTAATCTGATTAGAAGACAGAAGGGCCTGTGGGGGCCACACTTCACCCTCCTTCTCCTCAAACCCCCCCAACATACACCCTGAGCTGAAGTCAGAGCCTCACCACCTCGTGACCCCAATCCCCCGTCTTCTAGAGCTTAGGAAAGCTTTGAGCCATTTGGGAGAAAATTTACCTTCTTTGATCTGCCCAACCTACTGTGAGCCCCTGGGTAGGGAAGTTACAGAATGCTGAAGTGCCATTTCCCAGATGGGGAACCTAAAGTCCAAGCACCCATAGAGCTGGGGCTAGACCCTAGGCCCACTGACTCCCAGTTCACTGATATGCTACTTTTCACTCCCCTCCACCAACTCCACATTGTTTTGAGATGTGATTCAGCAGAGATTAAGTTCCATGTCTCTGGGTGAGGAGGAAGGTCTTGCAAACTCAGAGAAAATTCCTCTACTGGTTTCATACCTGTCCAGTCTCTGAACTCTGTCGATCTGGGGAGTAACTTCATGTAGCCTCTCTCCCTAGAGAACTGGACGAAGTTGCTTGCAATAATTCTGTGGTCCTTGGAGACCAAAAGACTCCAGGGACCATCCCATCTGTCCCACCATGAACAAGGGAGAGGAAAACACAGCCTCCAGCAGCACTCCCCATGGGACCTCCTGCAATGATCCTGAGCCCTCGCCCCACCCCGGTCCAGGGCCCAGAGACTAGAAGGGGAGAGCCACTGTCCTTGGTACTGAAAAGAGAAGCTCCATTTGGGCAAAGGCAAGGACAGCCCAGGATGGCCCTGTGTAGACCCAGCCTAAGGCCAGGCCAGAACCCACCTGTGTCCTGGGAGTCCAAAGATCTGACCCCATCTTCCTCTCTGCTCCCACAACTTAAAGAATGTTAAATCTAGAAGGAAGCTCCATTTTACAGAAGAGGAAACTGAGGCCCAGTGGGAAAGTGACTCTGCCAAGGTCCCATGAGGAGTTAGAGCCAGGACTAGTCCTCTAAAGTTTCAGGGTGAGTTTTTGGAAGGCCATTCTAGGGCAACATAAGGAATAAAATGGAAGGGGCAGGCAGAAGGCAGGGGAACTAGAGGGGAGGCTGGCGCAAAAGAACAGGCTTTGAAACAAAGAGGATAGGATGGGTGAGGCTCAAGCCAATGAGCAGTATGGAGGACCTGGCAAGGGCAGACTCATAGCCCAGGAGACTGGGTCCTGGAGAGGAGTTCCTCCCCACTCCACACAGCCCCGCCCTGCAGGGAACTGAGCCATCCCACCAGGGGCAGCAGGGTCACCCTGCTAGGATCTTATTCCAGAACAGAGTTTCCGGGGCCAATGCCCTCAGTGATCGGCCCCATACCTCCCTCTGAGGTCAGACCCAGGATGGCGCTTTAAGCTGGGACACTGGCAACCTCAAGGCCTGGGAGAACAAAATGGGGACAAGTAATTATGAAGAGGAGAGGAGTATTCTACAAGCAAGGGGCAGAGCTGTGGAGGCCAGAGAAGTCACTTCTTTTTGGCCCTACTGTGTGACCATGGGTAATAATAACACCAACAATTTACCAAGTGTCTAATACGTGCCAGGCAAGAGGCTGGATACCTTTACACATCCTATCTCATTCAATCCCCTGGACCACGCAGCAAGGCATGTATTATTGTCCTTATTCTACAAATGAGGAAGCGGGCTCAGAGAGGTGAAGTAACTTGCCCAAGTTGCCCAGCTAGTAAATGACAGGGTGTATCTCTGAAGGCCAATTTGAAGTCCTTCTCCAAAAAAGTACCTTCTAGTCTCCAGGCTCAGATGCCTCATCAATAAAATGAGTACATCAGACCAGAAGATCTCCAGATCCTCAGGGCCCCTTCCTGCTCTGACATTTGGCAACTGGATGATTCAGAGAGACCTTTGGTTAGAAGGGCAGTGGGCAATTCCCCTGGCTCCCCAGGCATTCAGCCATGCCCTTGCATACCGCAGAGACAAGTTATCTGGAAGCCCCATCATCGTTCATTTCCCCTCAAGGCTGGAGGTCATCCTGGTGTCTGCTCCAATCCCCGCCTGCTGACTGTGGAGCCTAGGTAGGTGGACAGTCCCAGGCAGATCACTGATATTCTCACAGTGACTCAGGCACCTGTCCTGGCCTTGGAAGACCGTCCCTCCAAATCATTTGGGCATGAAGAGACCTTTGGGTCTGAAGCTGAATCAGCAGGGCTTGGTTTCCTGAAGCCAGACTCCTGGGGGCCCTCCCAATCCTAGTCCCCCAACCTTAATGCCACCCCGTTGGTCCTGTCCCAGCCCAACTCCTGGATTCCTAGATCCCCATCTTCCTGACTCCCTAGTGTCAAGCATATTCACAGGGGCCATGCTCATCCTGGGGCACTCATAATCTCAAGCCCCCTCCCCATCTAGCACTTCTCTGAGCCAGAAACCATATCGCAGCTTGATTGCTGGAAAAGACCATCCCACATGCTCCTGTGGAGGGCTTTGTAAAAATCTATTTTAAGACCTGGAGAAGTCCCCCAGCCCCAGCCCCAGCTGGGAGCCTTGATGGGCATTCTCCCCGGATCCTCCAGTGCCCCACACCTCACCACCCCCACAAAGCTGCCTATTTGAAGGTTTCTTAGGGAAGTTGTTACTCTGAGCAGAATAAGCAGGAAGAGGTTTTAAAACAAAACCAGCTGGTGTCTGGGCTGATGCCACACAGTGAGGAGGTCTTGGTGGGGGCAGCTGGCTCCCCTGTGACGTGAGCTCCAGGTGTGACTGTGTGCGACAAGGTGGGTCACCCGCCAGGCTGAGCATAAGTAGGATTCTATAACCAGGTGTCTGAGAAAGTCTGTTGTATTCATCAGGAGGTAGCTGTGAAGGTGGTGTGTGAATGTGGCTTTGTGAGGTATATGCATACACACACGTGACGTGTTTCTATGACCACGGGCCACTGAGTGTGCATGCGCGTAAGGGTAGGTTTCCTGAGCAACTGAGCGTGCTATTTATGTGATTGTGCAAGGCATGTGTCCTTGTACGTGTGTGTCTCTCTCGTGGCTTTGTAACATATGTCTGCGGCTGCTTGTACTTAGGAAGCTCGAAGATTATAGGTGAGGCTGGATCTCGTGGATGTTTCTGTGAAGCTGTGGTATCACTCAGCACAGTGCCAGGAGCATGATGGCTGCTTAATGGATAACTGCTGGTAAGTGTGTAAGTCTGTGCAGAGGCGGCAGAGTACCAAGGTTAGGAGCACGAACTCGGGAGCCCAATGCTGGGGTTTGAACCCAGACTCTACCACCTACTAGCTGTACAGTTTGGGGCATCTTACTTCCCTTCTCTGTGCTCCAGTACCTTCCACATAGAGTTGCAGAAGGAGTCAGTGAGTAGGACACGTACTAGACCCAGAGCAGCACCTGGTACATGGTAAGTGTGACATAAGGATTTGTGGGGGTAGGAGTGCCCACCCGCGAGAACTGCCCCTGGGCGCCCGGTCACTGTGAGGGGCCCACACCCCTCACCAGCCTGGGGGAGCTGGAGTGTGCCCCTGCTCCACTGGGTCAGGCCCACGATGGCCACCATCTTGGCCCCGAGGCTGCTGCGCCGCTTCTTGGCCGTGGTGGTCCCGGTCCCGTCCCCAGCCTGCTGGGGTCCGCAGATTTCGCCGCTGATGCTGGAGCTCCGCACCACGTTCCTGGAGGCCGCAGCTGAGGCTGGAACTGGCTCCCCGTTAAACATGATCCACGGGGTGGCAGGGCCTCAGGCAACCCTGTGGGGCAGCGGGAGAGACAAAGGGATCCCACGTCAGACCCTGGGCCCCTCTACCGCCGCCCCACCCCTTCCTAGCTGTGTGACCTCGGGCAAGGCGCTCAGCCTCTCTGAGGTTGTGGGGATTAAATGAACAAGTCAATGTAAAGGGTGTGCCCAGAATCTGGCTCGATGAACGGGACTATTCTCATTAGCATGTGGCTGCCCTGACAAGTGACCTGGTTTGGCGGTGAAGGCGGAGGCTGTGCAGTTATGTGACCCACTCTTGAATTCCAAAGGCCTCTACCCACTAGCTGTGTGACCTCACGACCGAACATCTTGGGGTTTCAGTGAACACCTCAGCAAAATGAGAAATGAAAGCACTTACCTCGTAGGACTGTTGTAAGGATTAAATTAGCGCAGGTGAAAGTGCCTGGAACGGTATCAGGCACGGAGTAAATATTCAGTAAGCGTGACTGTTGTTTTCACAGCCAAAAATGAGAACAGGCAGGACAAAACTGCTCCAGCCTGGGCAGACTGTGGAAGGGGTCCTCCTGCTTGAAGCGGGTGGGACAGAAAAGTGTAAAGAAGCAGGGAAAATCACCCTTACTGGGAGGCAGCCACTACAGGCATCTTAGCCGATTTCCTCCCGGTCTCTTTTTCACACATTTCAAAAAATAACTGAACTCATACTGCCAATACAATTTTATATCCTGCTATTTTTCATTTAATGTTATATCAGAAGACTTTCCAATGTTATTAACACTTTGTAGAAATGTTTAAATGCCACCAGTATGTTCCATTGTATGGAGGCACTATAACTGACTTAAATATTTCAATACAGTTACTGCTTAGATCAAGTCCAACTTTCTCCTCCCTCTCTCTCTCTCTCTCTCTCTCTCTCTCTGTCTCTCCCTTTCTCTCCTGTCTTTTAAACAACACTGCAATAAAGATCTTTGTACACTGATTTTTTTTTTTTTTTTGCGGTACGCGGGCCTCTCACTGCTGTGGCCCCTCCCGTTGCGGAGCACAGGCTCCGGATGCGCAGGCTCAGCGGCCATGGCTCACGGGCCCAGCCGCTCCGCGGCACGTGGGATCCTTCCGGACCGGGGCACGAACCCGCGTCCCCTGCATCGGCAGGCGGACCCTCAACCACTGCGCCACCAGGGAAGCCCTGTCCACTGATTTTTATCTGCTTATTTCCTTAGGATCAACTCCTGGAAATGAGGTGACTGGGCTATCGAGTGTGAACGCCACGGGTAGCTTTTCACTACCTGCTTCCTGACGGAGCTCTGGTTTTGTCCACCTCATCCCTTGTTTTAGAGGCAGATCCTGATTTGTTTAAAACAATCAGTGAGTGGCATTCACCTTGGTAACTCTTACTGGTCCAAGGGTGGGCATGTGACTAAGTTGGCCCAATCTGACTTAAGGGCAAGATTTGGATTCCAGGCTTACAAGAGAGGTGGGTGCTTCTCCCTCTGTCTGTCTGTCTTTTCCCTTCCTCCCTTAAGACCTCTCTCCTGAGAGAGAGCCCACCCTAGGATGAAGCCAGTGCTGCTGAGGGTGGCACGGCACAGAGACAGAAAGGACCTCAGGCCAACCTGGAGCCTGCCTTCTCTGGTCTTCCTGCTACGTGAGACAATGTGTTTTCCATTGCCTAAGCCAGTTTGACTCAGGGTTCTCTGTTACATCCAAAAGCATCTTACCTAATACTGAGAGCATAAACATTTTTCTGATTCTTGGAATATATTGCCAAATTCCTTTCCAAAGCAGACAAATTTTCTCTCTAATGCTGCATTCAACAAATACCTAAAGGGAATATAGCCAATATTTTATAGTAACTATAAATGGATATTACCTTAAAAAATTGTGAATTACTATACTGTACACCTATATAATACTGTACATCAAGTATACTCCAATTAAAAAAACTATTCCAAAAATAAAATGTCAGTTATTCCTAAATTAATCTATAGATTCAGCACAGTCCCAATCAATATTCTAACTGGCTTTCTTGTAGAAACTGGCAAGTGGATGTCCTAAAATAATCAAGGCAATTTAAAAATTTTTATCTATTCATTTTTAAAAATTGAAGTATAATTGACCTACAACACTATTAGATCCAGGTACACAAGATAGTGATTTGATAGTTCTATACATTACAAAATGATCACCACAAGTGATCCCAAGTTTTAAGTATTATATTTATGCTAAAGGTCATCATTTTACTTAATAATATACTTTAGAAAGATATTTTTGGGGGAATTTACTGGCGGTCCAGTGGTTAGGACTCCGCGCTTCCACTGCAGGGGGCACGGGTTTGATCCCTGGTTGGGGAACTAAGATCCTGCAAGCTGCATGGTGCGGCCAAAAAAAAAAAAAGAAAAATATTTTTTCTCTGAGTATAAAATTGAGGAAAAAAATGTTAAAAAAAATTTAAACCCCTAAAATTCCAAGGCCTCTGCTGAGTGCCATTGATACAGTAGTGAGCCAGGCCAACTTCGTCCTGCCCTCCCAGAGCCTCCAGTCCAGGAGAGACAGTGAATAACTAGCTATGCAATTAAATATTTAATGGCGGTTCCGACGAGTGCTAGGAAAGAGGACAGAGGGCGCTGGAAGTCACTCCGGGGAGCAGGGCAGCAGGCACCCGTGGCTCTGTTTAGTGCAGAGGTGGGATCTCCCGCTGTCGCCCTCTACAACTTGGCTGAAAGTCCTAGGCTCGGACAGAGTACAGGAGAGACAGCTGCAGGCAGGCTCCGCCCCCAGCCCTTCCCAGCTCTGCTGTAGCCCCCAGCGCTTTCCCCAGGGCAGCTCCCATCCCAGGGCTCAGGGCCCCATCACCCTGAGGAATCCAACTTTTCAAAAGGACATAGAAAGGAGAGGGGAGATGGGGGTGGGAAGGGAAGGCACCACTCCAGCTGAAGAGGAAGACAGTCCCCAGACAGCCGAGAATGGCCACCTGGGCTCCTGATCAGCACGGCTCCCGCCAGCCTGGTGAAGGGGGGCTGACAGTAGGGAGGAGCTGAAGCCATGTTTTGACGTCTTTGTGGCTGTCTAGACTGTTCTCGCTGGCCGTGATGTATGCAGAGTCTCGGATTGTATTTCTCCATCCATCCCCCATCAACCTTGCAGCTAATGGAAAGTCCCCCTGGACTTGGGCCTATGATGATCTCTTTAGTTTCCAATTCTAGTGCCAGTTTGTGTGTTTTTTTGGGTATGTGCATGGTCTTTTGGTGGACGGTGGGAGAGGGCTTATCTGATACTTTGAACCAGCTAGAGCAAAAGCCTAATTTACTCCTTAAAGTATTTCTGTTACATGTGTAGTTATCTCCACGTCACAGATGAGAAAACCCAGTCTCAGAGAAGTTAAGGCCTTGCCCATCCAACTCAGCTAAGAAGTGGCCAGGCCTGGACTCCTGTTTCCGGGTCTCCTGTTTCCACGAAGAGACAGACATGCTCAGCAAACCCTACTCCTTCACCCCAGAGCTCACCCAAAGAGGGGGGCCCAGCCCTCCTGTTCAGGCTTTGCCCCGGGTCTCCAGGTTCTTTGAGAAAATTGTAAGCAAAGTATCTGTGATGAGAAAACCCACTCTGGCCCAGGTTCCCACGGCTGGCGTGAGCATCTGAGGGGCAGCAGAGATGCCACTCAGACCACAGCTGGAGAAGCAACTGCTTCCTTGGTGTTGCTGACAGGAAGCTCAAGAACACTGCTCCCAGGGGAAGAGAAGGAAGGACGGGAAGGGACAAAATTCTTGACCCTGCCAAGCCAGGGGCTCATGTTTCCTCATGAATAATGAATGGAGCCCGACAAGCAGACGGTTTGACGTCCAGGACTCTGCACCATCCGCAGCCACATTCTCATCTTTAACCACCCGGGGATCACCCAGGGGGCCCGGAGAGCTGACGAATGTTTAGGAGGGCCCAGCAGGCAGGGGCTACCCCCAAGGGGACAGGAGGAGCTGAGACTGACCCAAAGCGCTGGACCCAGGACCTTAGGGCCTGCCCCCCGGTCCCAAGTCCAGGGTAGGGCAGCCTGGGAGAGTTCAGAATCAGGAGGTGGGATTCGAATGTATACTGTATAGATTAGATTCTTTGTGTGACCTTCTCTGGGCCTGAGTTCCTCATCTGTGTGTAAACTGAAGGGGTCAGAGGATGTGCTCTCTAGAGTCCTTTTGACACGCATGGCAGCAGCAGGCTCAGAATTAGGGCTCTAGTTGATTCTCTGGCAGCCAGCCTGGCTCAAGATGGGCAAGACAGAGAGCCAGTCAGAGCCAACCACCTGGCCCCTGTGAGGAAGGCAGTGGTACTCACAGCAGCGCCCCCAGCCATCAGACCACAGGGATGGGAAAGGGCCAGCAGCTGGATATGGTGACAGAGTGGTGAGGGGCCGGCAGGACACAGAACACAGCACTTCACATCCTGGTGGTTCTAAAAGATTGCTGAATGAATTTCTACAAAAGTCACTTCAACAATTCCCTGCCTCTGAGCAGGACTGTCCCTTTCCCAATCCAGGTCATGGCTCCTGATGGAAGGAAACCCTCCCATGATCTTGCTGGGTCACAGAAATCTTACTCTGAAGTTCTCCCTGCTGACTCCCATCTATTGCTATAGCAGCATCTATGGCCACAGCTTGGACGTCCCCTCCAGTTATCCCTTCCTACTGCCCCCGACTCCTGCCAAGCTCCATGCCAGCAGATACCTTCCAAGTTCCCCAAGGAAGGAGCCTAGCGTCTTCTTTCTGGCCTTCAACGTTTGACCTCTACCCTGGGGTCTCAGTACCCAAAAAGCTCCCAAAACCTCTCCTGATTCTTGACAATGGCAGGACTCCAGGCTCTGCCTGGCCACCCTGGGCCCCTTGGTCCTTTTGACCGTGTGTCTAACCAAGTTAATAAACCTTTTTTGAGCATCAGTAAGGCTATCCAAAAGCCCAAGATGAAACTAGCTACCCACCCTTTCAACAGAAAAGACCAAGGAATGTGTTACAGAGTGATGGACTGTTAGGCTGTAAGGGATGGCAAATTCCTAAGGCTCTTACCACCCCCGCCTATCCTCTGCACACAGCAGACATCACTAATCCTTCTCTCTTTCTCATCAGGGCCAGATTTAACCTTAGAATCCCTCTTAACACAGCGCTGCATCACCAACCGATGAGAACCAGCTCATAAGGTCAAACTGACTTGCCTCCCTATTCCAACCTGAGCCTTTCATTTTGCAGAGGAGGAAATCAAGGCTCAGAATGGGAAAGAGTAATGGAAAACTGATGAACTCATAAAAGTGCTAACAAAAGATCAAGATGAAAAAAAAATTAATGACACGGGACTGAGTGAACTGATGTGGATGATTATAATTTTTGTGACTTTCTGTTTGAATAAAAAAAAAAATCCCACAAGGACTCAGAGGCAAAAAATATACAAATCAATTTTCACTGCAAAGTAAAGGAGCTGTTGCAGTGGAGGATTCCTGGACTGAATGTCAATATTATGACATAGTATGAGAGTGTTTCGTGTTTGGTAATTGCAATCATTGTTGCTTTTGTTGTGGTCATGCATTTACAATGCTTGGTGTCAGTTTATTTATCTCTTGTAAAAATAAAATACAGTGTGTGTGTGTGAAAACAAAACCAGAAAGCTAATCATGGGGAAAAAAAGATTATTGTGATGATATGACATTATAATTTTAACATCTTAAAAAAAAAAAAAGAATGGGAAAGAGACACACCCAGGGTCACACAGAAAGCTGTTGACAAAACCAGAGCTACAAACCAAGACTCCTAACTCCCAGGTCCTACATCACCTGTCAGGTGCTTCCTCCCCACCTCTCACCTCGAAGACAACCCAAACTCACCAAACTGATGAATCTGAATGTGGTGTTCCCATCACAGGGGGCTGTGCCCCTCCCAACAGCACACACCTAGGGCATTTACACAAGCCTTCTGTTAACTTCTGAGACACCAGATTTCAAGAAAGGAGGTGAAGACAATCAGGGTAGCTTCCAGGAGGAGGTGATGTGATAAGAGTCTGGAAGGAAAAAGGGGAGCTTAGAGGAAGGGCTAGAGAGGACATGTGTCCTCCAGGGATTCTAGTAGCTTGTGGAGTAAAGAGACAGACTTTGGAGATAGTTGTGTGACCTTCAGCAAATCATTCAAACTCTCTGATGCTGTTTCCTCCTTGTCCAAACTCCTGGGTCCCCTAATCTGCCTTTAGGCACTTTAATGTTAAATTGCTGGTGCTAATGCCAAGGGACTCATCCAGGTCCAACTGCTAAGGAGCTCAGACCCTATTCTTCCTCTGTCCTCCCCCTGACCGATGGGGTCTGTGTCCCTCCCCAGACACTCTGTGACACGACCATCAGTCAGGAGTGTGTGTATTGGGGGTGTATCAGGGGGCCAACTCCTGGCTCCACCCGCAGTGTGTGACCCTGAGCAGGTCATTCAGCTTCTCTGAGCCCTCATCTCCTCTTCTATAAAATGAGTCTACTGGCCATCTGGACCCAGCCTGACTCTCCGGGCTGGACTGGGGGTCAGATGGGTTAATGAGGAGCAGGAAAGCACAGTAATTAAAAGCACAGGCTTTGGAGGCAGACAGACTTAGTTCAAAACCTAGACCTGTCACTTACAAGCCACATAACCCAGGGCAATTTCCTTAACAACCCCCCGAGCCTATAGCTCCTCATCTCTCAAGTTGGGATAATAATGCCCACCTTAGGATTCTTAGATGAAATATTACAAAAATAAGGATTGGTACATGCTAAATGCTCAGCTGGGCAATTATATTATTACTATTCATAATGTGCCTTTGTAAATGGTAAAGGACTTCACAGGTGTTGGTGCTTGTGAGTCTGGATTGCAACCAGGTGCAACCACTTCATGGGAAGGCTCAGAGATGAATAGGATCACCTCCCACTCCAGCCCAGGGTGCAGGATAAGTGTGGGATCTGGGTTCCTGCACCTCTCAGTTGAGGTGGGAGCTGACATGTGAAGCTGTGCTTTTCCCTGCCAGCATCTCAGCTCCTGGTCCCTCAGCAGATGCAGCGTCTGGCATTGGAGACCCCTGCCCCAACCCTTATCTAGCACTAGGGCTGCCCACCACGTTGTTCATGCCAATCTGTGCCCATGTCAGAGGCCAGACTTAACCTCAGAATCCCTCTTAACACAGTGCTGCCTCACCAACTAATGAGAACCAGCTCATGAGGTAATACTGATTTTTTTTTACCTGCATCTACAGAAGGTGGGGGTATCCCTTGTTTCTAGCCTTCACTTTCCCCCTCAGGGAGAGACAGGTGGGTGACAGAGCTGGTGCGTGGTGGGGGAGGGTAAGCTGGACCCAGGGAGCACACCCAGCCTGAGTAGGGAGCACTCTGCCAGCTCCTCTCCTAGTTATGTGACTTTTATCTCCTCCAAACCAGGCTCGCACACACACTACGCATAACCGGGAGAGGCACAGGGCACAGAATTTCAAATGTGTGATTACACACCATGCAGACCCACACAAATGATACACACTTAAAGACACAATCACATGCGTACACAGACATGCACACACAACACTAAGATACTCATCCACACAGAAGTAGCCACACTGACAGCCACAGGCAGGCAGACACAGACAGACAGACAGACAGACACACACACACACACACACACACCCTGGCTCCCGGCCCCTGCCCAGCTCTTAGCAGGCGCTTGTGTGAGCTTGCACACACACACACACACTCATACACACTCTGGCCCCCAATCTCACCCCTCTGGCCCCCATCCCCACAGGCCGAACAAAGGATGTCATCGTGAGGTCGGTGGCGAGGAGATGAGAAGGCTGGCTGGGAGCAGCTGCGGTCGCCATGGCTACTGAGCTGACCCACTTCTCCTCCACCCAGCCTGGCCCACTCAGCCCAGGCAAGAAGGGACAGGCAGCTTTGGGCAGCGGGGGCCTCTCCCATCACACACAGTAAAGGGGCGGCCCTCTGAGTGTGTGGTAGGGATGGGTTGAGCAGATAGACTGGGTCCCGATACAAAGGCAAGAACCAGACATCTCCCGAGGAGAGCAGGGTGCTCAGGTCTCCCCCAGCCTCAGGGCCTCTGGCCTCAGGGGCCCATACGGGTCACGCACTTGCCCTGGACACATTCTCAGACATAGTCCTCACAGCAAGGCAGGGTCTTGGGTGGTTGGGCCCAACCTGTGTCCTCCAGACTCCAAGGACTCGGGACACCCAAGGGTGAGGCAGACCCAGAGCTGGGTGAGCCCTGTCTCCTGTTCAGAACAAGGCTCCTGAGGGCAAGGTTCGTCTTCCCCACTTGGACTGAGGGCTGCTGGGGCATGGCCAGGCCTTCCTTCCTCAGACGGGGCTGCCGTGTGCCTTCTCTCAGCCAGGGGCCTCCTGAGGACATGGCCACAAGTCTTCCCTCAGAACTGGGTTCACAGAGGAACGACTCGGCCTTCAGACAGCTCAGTTTTGTGAGGAGATGGCTCACAAGGCAGAATGAATCCCTCCTGTGGGACAGCCTCCCGTAGCTCCCCGTTTCCTTCAGGAGAAAGTAAAAACCCCTCACAAGGCCCACAAGTGAAGTGACCCAGCTCATCTCGCACTCCTGCCCCTCCTCCGTATTCCAGTCACACTTGCATTTTTTTCATTCCTCAAAAGTGCCACTTTGTCTCCTGCTAGCCTGGAAAGCTCTTCTCCAGTCCGTCCCCACCCTCATGTCCTGCGGACCTGGTCTGTGTCGCACCACCTTTGCGGGCTAATCCCTACTCAGCGCTCAGTCCCAGGCTGGATGGCATGTCCTAGGAGAGTCTTTGCAGACAAGGCTAGTCCCCGTCATGCTCCCCCAGACCCTATACCATCCTTGCCTGTTGTGTGTTGAACTGTGCACCGCCCCCCTGCAAAAAAAAAGATATGTTGAAGTCCTAACCCTTGGTACCTCAGGATGTGACCTTATTTGGAATACATTAAAATAACAGACATTTCCACCAATGTGTAGTTGTGAAGAGGGAAAAGTTCTGCTCTCTGCTTGATAACTGTCTTTTTATTGTTAACTGATTCCTACTCCTGTCACTCTAGTGGCTTTACAGAGCTTGAGCTCCAGAGCCTTGTGGGGCATAGATTCCAGGTGGAAGCATCCAGGAAGAGCGCACATGCTTCCTGACCATCTCCATCACCCACCCCCTCTCATACCTTGTGGACAGATGTGGCAGCTGTTGCCTGACAGGGGCTGCTAGACTTGGCACTTGAGAATGCCACTAGAAAACACCCTGGGGCTGAAGCCACTCCCGAACAGAAGCAAGATGCCGCCCTCGGTGGATGCACCATCCGGTGCTTCTCAAACTGAAATGTGCACAGAAATCACCTGGGGATCTTCCTGAAGTGCAGATTCTCATTCCATGGGTCACAGGAAGGTGGAGCCTGAGTGTCTGCATTTCAAACAAGCTCCCAGGTGATACCCACGCTGCTGGTCGGAGGACCACCCAAAGCACTGAGAGGTAAAGATAAAACACCCTGGCTGCTCTGCAGAAAGAGTGAACACTTCAGGATGGGGAGACCAGAGCAGGTATCACGGAGAAATTCTCTGCAGAGCACCTCGAAAGGTGGGTGGGATTTAGAGAGGTACAGGTGGCAGGAAAGAGGTGGAAGCTAGCTGGGAAGGTCCAGAGAAAGAATGGTATGTTCAGAGGCTGGTGAACAGAGCAGTGCAGTTGGAGCAGGACGTATGTGCAGCTGTGGAAGAGAGGGCTGGGAACGTAGGCTGGGAACAGCCAAAGAAGGGCTCTGAATGTAGGGCTAAGAAGTTTGGCTTTAATCCTGAAGGGAGTGAAATCTGACATGGTTTAGATGTAACATTTTGCAGAGACCAATCCAACACGGTGCAGAATCAGAGCAAAGCCTGACAGCAGGAAGAGCAGTCAGGAGGCGGGTAAGAGGGGCTGCACTGCTTCAGACACTGCTGGTGGAAAGAGGAAAGGGGTGCAAGAGTCGTGGGAGGGCTTGGGGGATTGCCTGGAGTTAGCGATGGGACAAGGTTAGGGGAAGGGCAGAAACCAGAATCCAACATGATTTACAGGAAGGGTGAGCAGGTGCCATCCCCACAGCGTGAGGTCCTGGAGGGAAAAGTTGGCTTGAGGGAAACATGAGTCCCTATTTTAGATATGATGAGCCTGAGATAATTTTGCAACTCCCATATGGAGGTGTTGGACAGGTAAGCAGATTCCCTGGAGTTCAGGAGAGCAGTGTGAGTGGGCAGGATTTGGGTGTGTTCCCAAGAGGGAAAAGTGAGGTGTGGAAAGGAAGGAGAATGCCCGGAGGAGGGTACAGAGTGAGGAAAGGGTGAGAGGTAATACCTACAGTTAGGGCTAGGAGGAAAATGGAATCCACCGAAGGAGGGAGAATCAGCAAGTCAAAGTAGGAGAACTCAGAGAAGATGTCGTGAGTACACAGATGGCCAACCTGGAGGCCCTACGCACCCTGACATCGAGACCAAGGAGAGGCCTGCCCAGCCCAGGACGCAGGAGGGCAAAGGAAGCCCAGGCCTGAACAAAAGCACAGCCTGAATGGAAAGCAGAATTTGGACTGGTAGAGAAGGGAGCTGGATTCCCTGGGGAGGGTCTGGGTTGCCTCAGGATCCCAAGGGGCCTGGGGCTCCCAAGCCCTTATTCCAGCTCAGCCCAAGCACAGGAAAGACAGTATCCCCACTCACAAACACACACACGGCGCTTTGCACACCCACTGACTACAGAACCCCCAGGGGCAGAGCAGAGAAGCAGGGGAAGAAGTCTTTGGGGCAAAGCCTCGTTGCTGGGGAGCACATAATTTATCATGCAATTAGGACTCTTTCAAAGAGTGAACAGAGACACTAAGTTAGGACTTGTAAGTTAGGACTGTCCCAGGCAAGCCCTAGCCCTGAGGGATACTGGATCCCCTCCCCCGCCAAATACTCACTTGGTCCCTGTTTCCCCTTCCTAGAAAGGGTGGTAGAACTGACAGATAGGTGAGAGGGACAGGCTAGCTCATCCTCAGAGGGAGGGGCCCCGCTGAGGGTGTTGGTAGATGGGGAAATCTCACCCCCTCCCAGTCCCGCCCCAGCCTGAGCGCCAACGCCCCCGCCGAGGGGGAAGCGGCAGCACCACGGACAGCGGCCGGCCCCCCGCTCTCCCTGCTCCCTGCGGGTCTGGCCTTATTTGGCCAGGGCCGCCGCTAGGCGGGATCAATATTTCATGGGGGAAGGGGCTCCGGTTACCAGCCCCGCGCTGAGCAGGAAGGCACCGCCCTCGCCCGCCGCCCACCCTGGGGACACTCCCGGGAAGCCAGCATACCCTCGGCCCCAGCCCAGACAGACACTGCCCTCAACGCACTCTGCCTTCCCCGGGCACGCCCCTGGCCCCCGCACCCTCTCTGGAGCCCAAAGCCCCAGGTGCACGCCACACACTTGCACACTGCCACTCGGACACACCACAGAGCCAGACACGCTCTACAAAGACGACGACACAAACAAAACAACAGGCACACACCACACCCAGCGTGCAAGCCACCAAGACTCACAACACACACACATACACACACCAGATGCCTCACAGACACACATTACACAGAGACACATTCACCACAGACCCACATGCACATCACACACAAGACACCCTGCCACACACGCCCAAACTCACACACCACACACTTGCACACTGCCACTCGGACACACCACAGAGCCAGACACGCTCTACAAAGACGACGACACAAACAAAACAACAGGCACACACCACACCCAGCGTGCAAGCCACCAAGACTCACAACACACACACATACACACACCAGATGCCTCACAGACACACATTACACAGAGACACATTCACCACAGACCCACATGCACATCACACACAAGACACCCTGCCACACACGCCCAAACTCACACAACGCACAGAGCCTCCCCACAAAGACCCTCAGACATATCACTCAGAGGTCCTTTCACCATGGACACGCACGTACGTACAAACTCTCTATCTTACACACATGCACACACACACACAATATGCCTCCACAGAGACCCCCAGACGTTCACCATGGATACACAAGCACACGCCCCACACTACCCAGGCCCCCCACCCCCCGTGGAGACAAGGCCTGCCCTCCCGCTGTGGACATGGGAGTGGGGAGGGGCAGGCAGGACTTTCCTCCTGCCCACCTGGCCCTGGTCTTGGGCCCTATGGATAAATCCTCTGTGTCCTCTGAGGCCCCCTGGGGCTGCTGCCCCATCTCCAGGGGCAGGTAGTGAGTGGCACAAAGAGGTGGGAAAGGGGAGAGCAAGGAGAACAGGACCTTTGAGACCCCAAAGCCTCCTGGCTTTGCCGTCCCTGGGCTCCAAGCCCTGGCGACAGCCTCACCCTCACCCATGGCCCCCATAGCCTCTGCACACCCTGGGACTCCTGCCCTCTGGGAGGCCCTAAGGCCCATGTTGTGCATGGGTACCTAGAGGACTGTGAAGTCTGCAGCTCCTGCGCCCCTCCGCAAAGCCCCCACCCAGGAGTGCCCAAGTCCTGCCTCAGAGGCGAGAGGCATCCTACCCCCATCCAGACACCCCAACTCCAAAAGCCCCCCTCTCAAGCAAGCAGCCCACGTTCTCCTATCTACAGGACAATCACAGCATGATTCTCTGAAAGTAACCCAAGCCAGGGCACAAGGTGAGGAGAACGGAGTAGGCTGGCACAGCATAAGAGACCCCCAAATTCTCCAGGTAGGTGGAGGGGATCTTAAAGATTATCTAGGTCCACATCCCTGATGTCCCTGTACAACTTCCCAGTTTTGCATTATCCACACAACATTGTGTGTCCCTCAGTGGTTTATGCCAAATCTCCATAGGCCTGCAAGGCTCATTAATTATTTTCTTAAAATTGGCACTTTTAAGTTAAATGCATTTATTTGAAATAGAAATTTTGTGTTACTACTATAAATGGAGAGCCAATACCAATTTTAATAAATAGAAAATGACAGTAAAATAAGTACAGTGAAAACAAAGCTATATTATTAAAGTTTAGCTACACAGAGCTGCCAGTCACGATCTCTGTGGTTTTCCGGGTTTTTTTTTTTTTTTTTTTTGGCTACACTGCACAGCTTGCGGGATCTTAGTTCCCCGACCAGGGATCAAACCCAGGCCCCGGCATTGAAAACGCCGAGTCCTAACCACTGGCCCACCAGGGTATTCCCCAAGATCTCTGTTTAAAAGCAAGGGCAGGGACTTCTCTGGTGGGACAGTGGTTAAGAATCCGCCTGCCAGTGCAGGAGACACAGGTTCGATCCCTGGTCCAGGAAGATCTCACATGCCGCGGAGCAACTAAGCCCATACGCCTAGAGCCCATGAGCCACAACTACTGAGCCCTCGGGCTGCAACTACTGAAGCTCACGTGCCTAGAGCCTGTGCTCCACAACAAGAAGAGCCACTGCAATGAGAAGCCCACGCACCGCAACAGAGAAGCCCCCGCTAGCCGCAACTAGAGAAAGCCCGTGTGCAGCAACAAAGACCCAACACAGCCAAAAATAGAATAAATAAATAAATAAATAAATAAATAAAAATTTTAAATTAAAAAAAAAAGAAGGGCAGCAAGTGTTGGAAAGTTGTTAAAGACACACCAGCATGGCACTGACAACTTTCTTCCTGGGACAAACTTGGACTTGATAGAGTTGAAAGGGAACCAACTTTCTCAGTATGTGAGCCAATGCCATGCAGTGGCATGTGCACGAGCCACTGAAAGTCATCTCAGGTCTCACTGAAGGGATCATGCTCACGTTGGGAAGGGAGTTCTAGGCTTGCCTGCCTCCTGTAGGAGCTTGGATGGCACTGGTGGCAAGCTGGCACCCTGTTGCCACATTCCATTCCCCTAATAACAATCCTTAGAAATTGCTCAGTTCTCTCCTATTTACAAATTGTCCTTTCACCTACCATCTAATAGGAGTCTCACGGCAGGAACTACCATGCATGGTTCTTCACTGAGAAAAGGAAATGAGCTGAGTCTTAGGAGATGAATATGATTTTGGCAGAGAGAACTGTCCTGACAGCTCACGCCCTCCTCATCCCTCTCTCCCCTACTCCAAAGAGAGGTGAGAAAATCAGGGTCTCATCTCCCTAACTCTCTGCTCAGGCCTCTGAATGACATTTGACAGGCTCTTTGGAGCCTGCCCTGGGTGCTGCTGCCCCCAGAAAAGACTCCTCTTGAAGTCACAGTGCTAGGTCTGTTTTCACCAGGTGCCGTCCAGATGCAAGGCTGGGGCCAGGCCCACCTGGCACTGTAAGAATTATAGCAGATGTCTTTTGAAGTGTAATACTTGCCCAGATTACAAACAAACAAGAGCCATGTCTGCATGTCTGACTTTGTTTTCCTTCCCTGCAGGCTGCAGTCGATTGGACCAGGGTGGGTACCTGACCCCCTCAGAGCCAATCAGATCCTCTCCTGGGAGTTTGGACTTGGATCTGCCAAGCCCTGGGTTCTATCTCTGAATGTAGTTGGAACTGAGGGATGAAATACAGGAACTATAAGCGGTCCATTATCTGGAGAAGCTGAGAAAACCCAGTGTGTGGAGACAGAAAGGTGAAGGCAGCCAACAAGGTACAGAGAGCAGCTGCTTCAATTTCTCCTGGCCTACAGGTCTCACCTTCCAGAGCGTAACGATTTTCCTACTCCTCAGTTCCCCCAAACCCCCTGTGTTCTCGTAATAAACCCTTCTTTATTACTGAGGCTGGCTTGAGTGGGTTTCTGTATACAAGCAAAGACCTAATTAAGGACAGGGGAGAAGCTGGGAGCTGGAGGCACAAAGATTAACAATCTCTGTGCCTGCACCGGAAGAGCTCAGTTTCGTGGGACACAAGGAGGAAAAGATGTAGACTCTGTGTGGATGTGGCTGAGGTGGCGGGGGGCGCCAACTCTGCCCAGGGAGGGCCGGGAGGGCTCCTCAGAGGCTTCCCAGCAAAGGTGGCAGCTGAGCTGGTTTTGAAGAATGAAGGATGTTCTCCAGGGAGACTAAGCAGGGGTGCGGAGGCATTATAGGCAGAGGGAACCACGAGGGCAGAGGCACAGAGGCACAAAACAACAGCCTGATGTGTTAGAAGAACAGGAGTTCAAAGTGTGGGGAGGGGGTAAGCAGGGGAGATGAGGCTGGAGGGGCTCTCGGGTGCAGATCATAACGTGCTTTGAATCCCATGCTAAGAAGCTGAGGCCCTTCTTGCCCTCAACGGGGAGCTATTGAAGTATTTTAAGTAGCAGGGTCAGTTCTGTGTTTTAGAACTCTGGGGCTATACAGGGAAAGGACTGGAAAAGGCAGGCCTGGAGGCAGGGAGCCTAGTTAGGATGCTGCAGCAATGATTCATCTATTCCTTTCACCCACAGAACAATTCATTGTCTACCTACTACGTGCTGGGGCCAGGCAAAACTGGATTCCTGACCCCACAGAGTCCACAGTCTAGCAAGAAAGAGAGATGAGGAAAAGCCAGTCAAGTGTGATGAGTGTCGTGAAGAAGCACAAGGTCCTATGGAAGGGGCTGATGTTTAGTTTCCAGTTTAGGCTTCTCTGCAGAAATGATGTTCAAGCTGGTATCTATCTGAAGGAGATAGATAAGCAGGGGAAGGGCATTCCAGGATAAGGGAACAACATGTATGAAAGTCCTGCAGCTCAGGGAGAGGGCAATTGGTACAGACGATCCAAAAAGGTAGGCAAGGACCAGATCCCACAGGGCCTTGCAGGCTACGTCAGTCTGGCTTTTATTCCAAGAAATCTTGGAAGGGTCTTAAGCAAGGAAATGACACAATCAAACGTTTATCTTTAGAAGATCACTCTGACTACAGTATGAAACCTGAAATGAAGCCGGGCAAAAACAGAAATGTAAGGAGACCAGTTAGGAGGCTGTCACAGTGGTCCGGGTGAGAGCTGATGCTGGTCCGGAGTGGGGCAGTGGGCAAGGAGAGAGATGACGGACTGGGGAGAGATATTCAGGAGAGCCAACAGGACTTGCTGAGGACTGGATGTGGAATGTGGGGGTGAAGGAGAGGGAGGTGTCCAGGAGGACTTCCAGCTTTCCAGCTTGAGCAAGTGGGTGGATGGTGGTGGCAGAGATGAGCTAGGGACACGAGGCAGAGCAGGTGCCAGCAGACAGAGCTGGGACCTGAGTTTGGACCTGAGACTGATCATGAGACATCTAAATGTGGTCCAAGAAGTAGTGAGATTTGCAGGTCTTGAGCCCAGAAGAGGGCATTAAAGTCAGGTAAATGAGATTACCTGGGAGTGGGGGAAGAGTGGGCAATACAGGGCAGCTCTGAGGAATCATGGTTGCAGCAGGGCCCGGGCACAGAGTGACCGGAAGCTCTGAGCTTGGAATATCAGAACCGTGAAATCCAAAGTCTTCCTCTCTCAGCCCTGGGAAGCATCTGGCTTTGGCTCCACCTCTCCTGGCCGAGTATCACTCCTGAGCACAGGAACTTCCGGGATGAGACAGCCCTCCCTTCCCCACACACCTCTTTCCTCCTTGGCAAACTCCAAGTTATCCTTCAGACCCACCCAGCTTAGGAGGTGCCTCATCCTAATGAAGTCCAGGTATGTCCAGGACTGGA